TGCAGGATCTGTGGAGGGCTTTGCTGGGTCTCAGGGGGCTTTGCAGGATCCACAGGGGCCTCTGCAGCCTGCAAAGCCCACCACAGATCCTGCACAACCCCCCTGAGATGCTGCAGGATCTGTTGGGGGCTTTGCTGGGTCTCAGGGGGGCTTTGCTGGGTCTCAGGGGGGCTTTGCAGGATTCATAGGGGGCTCTGCAGCCTGCAAAGCCCACCACAGATCCTGCACAACCCCCCTGAGATGCTGCAAAATCTGTGTGGGACTTTGTCGGGTCTCAGGGGGCTTTGCAGAATCTTTGGGGGGCTTTGGCGGGTCTCAGGGGGGATTTGCAGGATTCATAGCAGGCTCTGCAGCCTGCAAAGCCCCCCACAGATCCTGCAGAGCCCCCCTGAGATCCTGCAGGGTCTCTGCAGGATCTGCGGGGGGCTTTGCTGGGTCCCAAGGGGGCTTTGCAGGATCTGTGGTGAGCTCTGCGAGGTCTAGCCCACCACAGATCCTGCACAGCCCCCTGAGACTGCAGGTGCTCAGGGGGGCTGTGCAGGATCTGTGAAGGTCTCAGGTGGGCTTTGCAGGATCCGTGGCGGGCTCTGCAGGGTCTAGGGCGGACTCTGCAGGGTCTCAGGTGGGCTTGGCAGCATGAGACCCTGCAGAGCCCACCAGAGATCCTTCACAGCCCACCTGAGACCCTGCAGAGCCCACCACAGATCATGTAGAGCCCACCACAGACCCTGCAGAGCCCACCTGAGACCACAGCCGGGTGGGGTAAATTTAGAGTGTGTGTGTGGGGGGCGCCCGAGTTTTGTCTTGCCTAGGGCAGCCCCAAACCTAAATACACCACTGGATACAGCACATATGATATATGTCATTAAGAACTTTTTAATCCTCTCCATTGTGACTTACATATTAATTGATGGAAAGTGGCTAAGAAAATGCCCAGACATGCATTGACGTTTTATTGATCCAAACAGAATGATTGGATTGTTAATAAAATCCTTGGCTTAAACTGTGTGTGAACAGGAAAAAAGGCATCAAATGACATTTCAATATATTTAGCATCATGAACTGATAGTTGGAATACTTCCCATTGGTCTTCACCCTGAGATGCTGCATCAATAGTCTCAGCGATACATCAGCATAATGTGGTTTTCAAATCAGAAAGTTCATGGCATGAGAAGCTATCATGTTACCTTAGCCAATAAAACTTATGATGTTGTAGCAGGCGTGTTCCGAAGCTATTTGTAGCTATCTTTTATATTTAAATAGCTCCTTACACTGTAGCTCCTTGCACTGTTTACTCAATAAACATACAGGTGTTAGAACTCATAGAAGAGAGAGGAATGCTTGCTTTACTAGAATGCAGAACCAGCTGCAATACATGATCTTGCACATTTCAGGCTACTTGTAACACATTATTAGAGGGTGCAATGTGTAACAGCATGTATTCCTGCTGTAGGTAGAACTAGCTGGACCAGCAGAAGAGCAGCAGAAGAGTATTGGAGAAGGAGTACATCTAGAGTATTACATTATACTAGTATAGCTATAATGGCTTATTTGATGATTGAAATCACAGAACTGGTGGTCAGACAAATTAATCTTTATCCACTGCATATAATAAATATATATATATATCAAAATCTGACATTCCCCATTAATCTGCTCAATGTAATGATGCATCAGTGATCTACTCAGTGAGAGATTTGTTTGCACCTAACAATAAATCACTTGCATTGTATACTCTCATCTGACCGTAGCTAATTTACCTTTTGAAGTTGTAACATAGATAAGTGAAGCATATGCATCACTTAAGCCATAAACAGCACAGTCTGTATCTAAATATTGTTTTCAGTGGTGATGGGAGGATAAAACAAGTTGTTTTGGCCTCCACCGTAAAAAGCTAAATAACTGTTGCAGGTAAAAGTAAGTATAGTGTGCTGTGATCCATTATACTAAATAGTAATTTACATTTCCTATTATTTGCATCAAGATAAAAACTTAACTTAATAGTAACATTTACCTTTGTAAATACTTAATTAGCAGCACATGCCGATTTAAAATATTAGTGCTATAAGAAAAAACATACCTAACGATTAATAATTATTTGTTGATATGCTGCTTTAAGAGCTGTACGATTCTGTAAGATGTTAAAAGTACAAGACTTAAAAAGCCACTCACCTATTGTAAACCTCAGCAAAGGCATTCTGTTCTGTACTGTTGGTCACACTGACATGACTAGGAGTGTGACATTCTCAAGGAAGTTTCTTAGCTGGTAAGGAGCAATTGGGTTGGGCTTCATTTGAATAATATCATCTATTGTTATAGCTTCTGATTGATGCTGAACAGAATCTCTTTATGATATGATGTCATATTTTACTGTCCCCTTTACTTCTTGGTAGTAAGGTATAAAAGTGGCCACTTGACATGCCATTGCAGCTCTTGACAGTAGCTCTAACAGAGTGCAACACATCTAAAGGTCAGTCTGTTCATTTCTTACAATTTATTTTACTTTGTACAAATATTGCTTTTTTTGGTTTTGAAGTTAACAAGGCTTGTTCATTTATTAATTTACATCTATATTTAACTAGTTTTTTTATGTTTAATATATCTTTCAATATTGTGTGCTAAGCATTTTGTTATGCTTTTCCCATATTATATTTTTCCCTGTTATTTTCATTACAGTTTTGCTAAAAATCAAATTGTATAAAGATTTGTCTGTTTTCAGCAGGTGTTGCGACAGTTACTAGAGCATTGCAACCTACTAATTATCTGTTTAATAAAAAATTTACTTACAGCAAAGTATTATTATAACGAGCACAGTAACATAATACAAATTTAACATAATAAAAAAACTCGTATTTTTTTAAATAATATATTGTTGTGTAATATTTGGCTGATATGTTGTTAAATATGATATGTTATGTCATGCTTAACATTATTATTACTGTCATTAAATTTAGTTGTAATAGTAGTAGCAGTGAAAGCTGTAGCAGGAGCAATAACTATTTAAAATGTTTTCATACAAGTTGATTTCAGCATAAAAAAATTAAATTCAAGAAGTTACAATATCTAAATTCTGTTCCAGTCCCTTCCCTACATTCCTTTTTCAGCTATGTTGGGAATCTCTTTGATGATTACATGCATTACATAAGAGATTGCTCCTAAGAGCACCAACATCATTAATATGCATGTGCTGAGATATCAGGTTTCCTTGGCAGGTGTAAGAGGAGACAGAACTATTAAAATTAATTGCAGATCAAAATGTGCTTGTATAATAACACTACAAAATCAACAGGTGTATATGCGTGATATGAGGGCACCATAGGATACACCAAATCAACAAATAAAAAGGAGAGTCCATTTGCAAGCACTTGTAATATATTAGGTTATTATGCAGTAATAAACAAGGTAAAGTACTTGGAAATGTACCAGCTATAGAAGTGATATTTAAAGGTTTATTTAAGGTGTGTTCCAACCAAGGATCCTTGATTCTAACCAAACCCCCTAAACCTAACTGTTAACCTAAGCTAACCTAAACATAGTACCTAAACCCACACCTTATTCTAAGCCTACCCTTAAACCTAACCCTAAAACTCAATCTGAAACCTAAACACATACCTAACGATGATTATGAAAGAAAATGAACTTTCATGTCAATAAAAATTATACTACAACACATCACTTGCTTCTAGGCAGATCACTTGAGCATAGTTTGACTGTCTAGCACCAGGAAAAATAACTAAGTGTACAGCGGCCAAAAGATCTGAAGTGCAGCTTTCCTTATCTCTTTTTTATAGACATTTTAAATAATGTTATTATAGCACAATCATATCATTAAATACATCAATGTATTATTCTGTAGAACACAAATCATGAGTCATATATGTTAGATGATAAGCTATCAGGCATGTGAAGAGTAAATCACAGTACGTTTCCTGATAAAGCCATTATTTAGCAACATGTACAGTTATAATTTTGTTTTACACCCTCTAATTTACATTATGTTAGCATTGTGGAGATGTTTGGGCCTGTCTGATGTCATCCTTACTGTAAAAAAATTAGCAGGTGCTAAAGCAATAGTTGTTAAAAACATGTGAACACAAGATTATTCTCAACCTCAACATCATTTTTGTTAGTATAAAATATTGCTTCATTAAAATATTCCATTTTTTTATATTTAAATGCCCCTAGCTACATCTCCAACCTCATCTCAAGATATCACCCAAATCGTCCTCTCCGCTCCTCCCAAGACCTTCTGCTGTCTAGCTCCCTCATCACCTCCTCCCATGCTCGCCTCCAAGGCTTCTCCAGAGCCTTTCCCATCCTCTGGAACTCCCTACCACAACCTATCCCGCAATCCCCTAATCTGTCTGCCTTTCAGCGATCCCTGAAAATTCACTTCTTCAGGGAAGCCTATTTCACCTCCTTTTAAAAACTGTACATCTACTCCTTTTTATCAGCTCACCCCTCACAGTTATTACAAGCTGTATCACTTGCTCTTCTTTGTAGACTGTAAGCTCTCACAAGCAGGGTTCTTCTAATCATTTTGTATGGTATTGTAATTGTACTGTCTCCCCATGTGTTGTAAAGCGCTGCACAAACTGTGGGGCACTATATACATCCTGTAATAATAATAATAATAATAATAATAATAAAAAAATTACAATCATATTACAAATGTACAGTGTAGATCAGCGACCCTAAAGGTTACATTACTAGGCTCCTTTAGCTTGTAGACCTTAGTAAACCCTGGAGTAGAAAACTCCATAAGCAAGCTGTTCACAGAAAATTAATATCTTTTCACCTTAAAACACAACCACTAGAATGTCCCAGAAGCTGTACATTTTTATTATATAGAATCAACATTTGATATTATAACCTTATAGCATAGGGTTCTGTTTCAATAATGAAAGCTTAAACGGAACCCATATCACAGTAATAAAATACACGTTGCGAAGGTTTTAATTTGTCTTTATTTTCAGACATAAAAAATCAACAGAAGAAACATGACTTTCTACGATGGTATATTTCCCTTCTACCCACAGCCAAGAAAAGCTTGGGCCTTGAATGTGAATTACATTATTGTAATCATCGTCTTCTTGGTGTTTGCCAGTGCCTTTATCCTGATAATTCCTGGAATAAGAGGAAGAGCTGTGAGTTATTTATTGATGTATTATATTATAATCGTTTTTCAGAATTCCTGTGCGTATCTATCTAGCTGTCTATCTATCTATCTATACAAAACTAATGCAGTTGAGTACATAGCTTTGGGTCACTTCTAAATTCCTATTGAGTACCAATCTTCATTTATTTATTTTATTTATTTATGTTTGCTTTTTTCAAAAAACAAGTTTACTTATTGTTTTTTTTTTTTGAGCATAGGAGAGGCCCCTAGTTCCCATTCCTCACAGTAGCACAAAGGGGTGCTGAGTACAGTCTCTTTCCCCTGGCAGTCCCACTAATAGGTTAATTTCCCCTTTAAACTGAATTCTGTTACATTATCGTCAGTACTGTGTGCAAAATATCTAGTTGCTGTCTTATATACAAATACTAGCACACTGTTTGCACATTAAATACCATGCTCCATATCAAAATAACAAGCAAAATGTTTATTTATTCACAGAGAATATCCTGGACCTTTAGAGTCATAATCAGCCTGTTCATTGGAGCTGTAACCGTTGGTAAGGAAGTTAACCATCTTTTGGAAATTAAACCTATGCAGACCTCTTTAGTATTACACACAAAACATAAAATGAAAAAAATGTATTTCCAGTTTAGGGTCCGTTCACACATATAGCAGTGAGTTGCATTGTACCGCACCAGATCAACACAGGTTACCACAAGGACACATAGAAGACAATTGTTTTTTATGCATCCTGTTCACACCACAATGTGGCTGTGATGGGTTGTGCCCTGCAGTAAATGCAAACATGCTGCATTTGATCACAGTGCACCGTATGCCACCACAGGTCGATGAATGGCAGTGCAATGAACATTGAACATACACTCCCCATAACGTTAAAAAAAATGAAAAAAAGGCTAATACAAGGCTAATAGGCTAATGCATAGCAGCCACTATGCATTAGCCTATTCACTAAAATTGATCATTTTAGAGGATGGGCTAGTGTCAATTGGTTCTAAATGTTAGGTTAAGGTCAGCATTAAGTGGTTCTGGTTTGGTTATCTAATAAGATTTAGGTCAGGGTTGAGTGGTAATGTTCAGTATTACACCAAAGCAAACCTGTACTTTGCCCTTCGAGAACAAAATAAGCAGGTATACTTAATAGCTTTAACCCTCTACTGATGGTGGTTTCCTTATGCTCCAATGCCAATCTATTTGTTTGACAGAACCCTGAAAAAGTAGCATATGTAAGCTACTGATGAGATGATTTGGTTGGAACTTACATGGAGCTTTACTGGGAGATAATAGCACAAAGCTGCTGGCACAAAAAAAAATGTCTGAAGATGGGAGGGAAAAGCTGAGAGGCATGTACATATGAAAATTTGGGCTACTATGTGCTAAAAATTCAACATGCGCCTGAGGGATTGCTATAAATATAGTTCTATTTGTTCCTAAAATTGTTAGGTGATCAGTTTTTTTGCACTTATCAGAATTCATCATCAAGTCAGGTTTACCAAAATGATATTTAATGCAATATTCACCCTGTTATACGTACATTTAAATACATAGAGATGAATATCTGTATAAATATAAAGCACCTTGTCTCGATTTAAAGACTGTCCTCTGACTACAATTGGGTTTTTCTACAGCTGTTAACTTTACAACAGACTGGGAAGTTGGATTAATTAATACTACAACTACTTATAAGTCTTTTAGTAGTGCTGTGGTGACTGCAGACATTGGAATAAATGTTGGACTGAGTGGCGTTAACATCACTCTTAAAGGTAAGACTAGCTATAATGTTTATTGTGCAAGTAAGATTTTTAAAGTCACCTGCAGCATTGCAAAACTCCTCTATGCTTTGAATCGGAATCATCTATACATTTTATATATTAAAATCATAGAAGTCCATTTATTAAAATCAAACAGGCTGTTCATGTGCACGATAATTTTCCTTTAGCTTACTGAAATTCTTTTTTAAAGGTATACCTAATTATGTGTAAGTAAATAGAAAACAGTAATGTTGCTTGCATGTGATAGGATGATGGATGTCAGCTTTACCAAGCTTAGGACAAATTCCCTTGTAAAGTGAACAGCCTATTTGACGTTAGTAAATCAACCCCATAGTCTCTGAGCTGATAACAGCAATGTTCCTAATAACAGTTTATAGAAACCACTCAAACATTAGGACTATGTCATACTAATGACACTGTTGCTGGTGAGGTGTCGCCAGTGTGACATGGTCAAATAATGTCTGTACTTTTGATTGTAATAAATCTTATCAAATTGATATTTAGCATAGCTGTCCTGGCTAATAACATCACTACAGCACCTAAATGTGATGGCAGCATAATTATTTTGAGGGAAAATGTCAACTTACTAGCACTTTAGCTAGAACTCCAAATTGAGTGCCTCTGGTAATTTTTATGCATCATCTCCAGTGACCAAAGTAATACATTGGTTTCTCGACTTTGGTGCTGGTACTTTTTGGCATAAATCTTTAAATGACAAAAAATGAAAAACAAAGCACATTCCCACATTTTCCTCACCCCCCAATCCTAACTTTAGTCTGAACTTGATTATGATTTATTACACTAAACTCACTTTAGCCCTAAAATGTAATTTAATTCCAATAATGAACCATTTACTCAAAACCATGTTCAACTCTGAAACCTAACGCATCATCAAAATAAGCTTAACCTTAATATATAATTCTTAACCTAACCATAACCTTATCCCTTTAAATAACTACTAACAAATAACTACACTTAGAAATGTAATATAACCTACAGCCCTAAAACTGGACCTATGATTGAACGCCCCAAAATTCCAAATCCAAATATAACCTTAAACCCTATTCCCTCATTCTTTATGCAAACCCTAACCTTAAACTAACCGCTAACACAAATGTTTTCCTTAAAGAACCTTCCATCATGCTTAAAGTGATGGTAGCCATATTAGTGCACCTGCAACAACACAGCAGAGAACTGTCTGAGATACTTTTTTGTATTAGTATTAACAGTTATACATTTAGGGCAAGCTTTTAAGGGACCACCCCTTCTGCTAAAGTCCAAACAATACTGACTAAGGCTTTGTTTGTATAGCTTTTGTTTGTACTGCAAGTACTGCTTGGACCTTAGAAGAAGGGTGTCATCCCTAAAAGCCTGTCCAGAAAATGTAACACCAAGTGCAAAAGAAATCTACCAGTGGAAATTCATGGTGCTGGAAAGCACTGACTTGGGTCAACATATACAGTATACAAGGCAAAAGAGTTAGTACACCTCACATACAAATTTTTCTCTAAAAACATAAATAGAAAAGACAATGGAAAAAATATTGAACGATAGATGTCTGCCACTGCTTAAAACCTTAACACCTCTATTAATGGCCTTTTCACAAATCAAGGCACTCTAATTTATTTAAAAAAAAACCATAAACCTGATTTAATGCACAGCTATAAGGACTACACAGGTTGAATTATAGGAGGGCAGGGCATTAATCAGGTCAACCAGCACAACTCTTATTTACTGTAGAGCAGAAGTAGAAATTACAATAGAAACATCTAAAGGATAATTGTTGCTTTATATGTTGCTCTACAACTAAGCACACTACTCACAAATAATTATTAGGTAAGCATATCATCTAGGAGTATGAGTACTGGGTTTAGTGTAGTGTTGATATCCTCTAGTATTCCATACATTTGAACTGGCAGCGTTTGCCTGCTAATGGATGAAGACTGGGAAGCAGTATATGAGTCTGCCCAATTTTCACCTTGGAACAGGTGCCGGCCTCTGATGCAAATATATGGAATGCTGAACAAAATCAGTTCTGCATCAAACTTACATTGGCTAATATTATCACTTAATTTAGAATATGCTTGTTGAATTATCGAAACTTTGATTAAAAAAATAGCCTTTTTAGCTGCAAAAGTGCTGTCAGTAAACATAAGCTTCTGGTAGAACTGCACTGTAATGTCCATTGTTGAACAGCTCCTGATCTGATCAGTCAAATCTCTTTGTTCATAACTCATGACGAAGCCGAAATAAGCCAACTGGCCTGCACATATTTTAGCCAGTGCAAAGGCTGCAATTTAGTTGTTTGTCCTAATAGCATAGTTCAAAGACACATATTTAAGACAAGGTACAAATTATGTTATTCAGGTTTAGGTCTGGACTGGCATCCCTCAGAAAAGACCAGCAGTAAATTGGTTATAATTCACTAAGTTCAAAGTTCTCTAAGGCAATTCATTTTGATCCATGTATGAAAATATTGCATGAAAATTATTCATCCTGTGCAATAACCTTTTCTTAAAAAAAGAACTTGACAGAATGGAAAAATAGGTGATTTCATTTCTGAGATGTTTCTGTAGGTAACAAACTCTGGGGTTGATATCCTTATACTTCTTTTATTAAGTGGTTAGTCACTGAGCTGGAACCAGTATGTGTATATCAGGTGTTTGGACAAATCATTGACTTACTAAGTAGTAAGGCAGCTATATGGAGGACAGTTCCTGCATAATTTAGGCATGACAGTTGCCATACAGTATGCCTTTCTTGGAGTGTTCTCTTCAGGCTGAGTTAGGCTTATTTGAATTACTGTATATGGGGATTACGTTATTAAATTACTCTGGTATCTCAAGTGTCAGTTCTGGATTGATTTCCAACCAAAAATATGTGTCTCCTTCCCCTTACAATGTATCCATAGTCTATAAAGCCCAAACAGAAGCTTTAGAATTTCTGTTGGGGTCCATCCTCCAAGACTGAGTACCTTTGCCTTTGTTTTTAAATTTCGCAATATGGGAAGTTTTATCTTCTCTAACTTAACCCAATTGGCTACGTGCCGCATAAAAACAGGAAACCCCATTAAAAACTTTTTTCTTTTGTTGTTTTCTTAGACTTCAGAACTCTGTTGGTAACACATATTGTGATGTAATGTCTTAGTAATTTAGTATACTGACAATCTATACTATTGTGATTTACTAAAGTTATATGTACAGAAACGGTAAAAACAAGAATGATAAAAAGATTCTGATGCATATGGGAGTTCAAAGGATGAGGGCACAAAATATATTTATTCAGATGCATTTTTATCTGATGGAGTTTAGTGAGCGTTTTCAGATCATTTCAGATCATTGATCATAGAGCAAAGCAAGCTTAAGCAAAGGTTACTTTCAGTAAAAACGTCAGTGAAAAGGACCAGTAGGTTCAGAGATATAGGCAGCTAAAGTTATTTGCAAATTTTGTTCTAGTTCCTCAAAATTATAAACTGTATATGTGGCAAAATCTAAAGAGACAGATTCAATCCAGCTCTCCAATATGTACACATGTTTCCATTGTATGGATTACAGGATCCCTCCCCTTCTCCTTAACTCCATAACTACTTCCTGTTTACATTATCAGTACCTACTCCCATCCCACAGCTAAATACTATTTACCCTCTCTCCTGCTTTTTTAGTGCAGCAAAGGCAGTGTTGTCATTAGATGCAGAGACATTGAGAAACAGAGACATTAATTAAATGGTTAGTCACTGAGCTGAAACCAGTATGTGCATATTAGGTGTTTGGACAATGACTTCCTAAGTAGGGAAGCAATTCTATGGAGGATAGTTCCAGCATTCCCTAAAACAATTTAGACATCACAGTTGCCATATACCTTTGTTGGAGTGTTCTCTTTAGATTGACTATAAAAGAAAATACTATTTTAGGTTTCATTGTACTTTAAGGAGAGACATTGGGGTTGATTTACTAACCTTTTAAACACACCACGAACGTGTATACACCTCTGTAGTGTGTTCCCTCGCAGCATGATCTATGGGAGGAATCAAAACACCTTTGTAGTGTGTACACACCCAGCAGGTGTGTTGTGCAAAGCCCTGCAATGAATTGCAAGGTAATGTGGTGTAAATTATTATGTTATGTTGCTTGCGTTGATGAATGCAGGAATGTAAATGCATGAGCTAACCATTTTTGTCTAAACTGTGAAGCAGCATTATATATGCATCATGTGCATGATTTTTCCATATATGGCATTAGTGGAAATATGCTTTTAGAGACTTTTTGGTTGATAAATACGTTTTGCTGTGTGAAAATCACACACACCTGGTGTGTGTGTGTGTTTAGGTTAGTAAATCACCCCCATTGGGTTGGTTTGCTAAAGGTGTAGAGCATGTTCACTTTGAAAGAGAATTTTCACTCATCATACTGAATATGGAGAAAAAATTCACTTTGCAAAGCACACCCAATCATGTTAATTGAAAAAAAAAGTTTACAAAGTGAAAATTCACTTTGCAAGGCGAACACACTCTACTCCTTTAGTACATGAACGCCACCGATTTCAACTGATGATGTTTTCTAATCAGGTCTCTTTGTTGAGCAAAGGACAACACATGTACATTATTCTGTCAGGCTTGGAAAGTCAAATGTGTGTCTTAACTATCCAAATAGTATTGTAAAATATGGCACTAAAAATGTTTCAGTGTATTTATAAGTTTTATATGCTGTTTTATATCCAAAGGAAATCCGGTTCATCAGATAAATGAGACAATTGACTATAATGAGCAGTTTCTCTGGATGTTTGGATCAGACTACGATAAGTTGTATTATGATAGTCTCGAGAGAGGACTTCCTAACCCCATCCTCTATGTAGCAGAGAAGTTTAGTAAAAATGATCCCTGCGGCTTGCATAACCAGTACAGAATATCAGGGCACTATGCATCAGCCTGTATGTGGTAAGTAACCAATAGCATATTTATGTGCATGTCATTTCCACCTATACGCAATTTATTTACTCTTGCCCTATAAAATTGTATTTGCCCTATAATATAATTTTATCTTAGCAGGGGGTGTGTTTCTCTATAACCTTTACACATTCTGAGTTTGACATGCTACATATCTCATCCAGCTTTAGAAAAAACTGATTCCTAAATGAATATGAGGTAGTGAGGTGGAGGGTTCTACTACATGGTGTACACTGGAAAAATAGCATAGTAACATATTATAAATAGATTGACATATACTATTAAAGTAGTATATGATATCACAGGGATCAATACACAATTCTAGATGTGGCGTTGTTTTTTTACATGTGACATTGAATTACTGTATATGATGATTAAGTTATGAAATTACTCTACCATCCAAAGTGTCAGTTCTGGATTGCTATCCAACCCAAAATATGTGTCTCCTTCCCCTTACAATGTATCCAACAGGCTATGAAGCCCAAACAGAAGCTCTAGAATTTCTGTTGGGGTGTCTCTTCGAAGACTGAGTACCTTTGCCTTTGTTTTCACTTTTGGGAAGTTTTATCTTTCTAGCTTGACCCAGTTGGCTACATGCCACATAAAAAAACAGGAAACTGAACCGATTTAAAATAATCTCTCATAAACAGCAAAACCTTATCTGTACCAGGAAACAATTTAAATCTTTTTCTTTTGTTGTTTTCTCAGACTTCAGAACTTTATTGGTAACACAAATTGTGCTGTAATGTCTTATCAGTTTAGTATACTGACAATCTATGCTATTATGGATTTACTAAAGTTACACGTACAGTACAGTAACGGTCAAGGAGTTTAATGTATGAGGGCACAACAGATATTTAATCAGTCCAATACATTTTTGCTTAGTAGCGTTTAATAAACGTTTGAGATCATTGACAGTTTTCTTCTTTCAACAAAGTTGACCTGTCACAAAGCTTACTTTCAGTAAAAACTTCAGTCAAAAGAACCAGTAGGTTCAGAGTTATAGGCAGCCTCATCTTCATAACTCCTTCCCCAAATCCGCAAATGAGATTACCCTATGACCACGGCTACCCAGGTTGTCCCTTACCTTCACATCTGTGATTAGTTCTGTAAAATTAGAAAATAGTAAGTCCAACAGGGAATTATTTCTAGCTGTTTTTTTTCCACCATTTATCCCATGTAATTATCTTGAAGACAGTGTACATGTGATGGACCTTTGTTGAGTGTGCGGTTCCGTGTGCCCAAATTATATCTTGGTAGTTGAAGTTTCCCATAATTATAACGTTGGCTTCCCTCCCTGCCGTCTTTATCTGTCAAGGTAGTTGAAATTCCTCCTTGTCGCTTATGGTAGGGGGTCTATAACATATACCCCTATGTATCACATGTTTTTATCTCTAGCCATAAGGACTCTGCACCCTCCCCAGAACTGCTCTTCTGTTCGCTGTCCATTCATGTGTACTCTCAAACCAAGTTTCTGTTATTCCGACAAAGTCATAATCCTTCTTTAATTTATCCTGCCATTATTAAGCACCTTGGAATCCTAGAAGCTAATATGTAAAGCTACAGGGAAGCACTCCTGTAAGCCTGCTTTTTATGGCTAGCGAGCATGTGCTTTTCACTCAGATGAGGATGTTAGGAAGTACTTTAACTTGCTTTCCAGAGACAGTATGCAAAATACCCAACTCTTGTTTATTTCTATACGGAACAAAAGGGAAAAGTCAGTCATTTTTCAGGTATATTGATTTAAGGTTGCACCACCATAGGTTTATGGATACAATGTTGACCAAAGGTTCTAACCCAACCCCATACTATTAAAAATGAAAAGAAAAAAAAAGCCTTAACAGACTTCTATTTCAATGTAAATTAGTTTCTGTGTTTAGACTCCTGGAAGTTCAAACATCAGAAAAAACTGAGGGTAGGTAAATAAAAAATAGTTTCCTGGAACACAACTCTCCCTCTCTTAGAAGCAAGAGATTATAATAGAATATTAGTTCATGGCAAAAGTCCATTGAGATTAACTTATTAAAGGAGTACCTTTCAGTGTGGCAGGATTATTATAAGGACACCGTTAGGAGCTGATTAAACTTTTTTATTATTATTTATTTATTTATTTAGTTTACATGAACCTATTTGAGAATTTGAACTTAACACAGGGTGGAGTAAACGGTAATCTTTTATTAAATTGGATAAAATTATACTACATATACTAATGCTGAGCTCTGCATTGGCTGTCAGTGTTTAGTATAATTGGCAATGCTTTGTACCAGTTATGCAGGTGTGGTACAAGGAAGCTTCACAAAGCGTCAATCACTAGCACAGGGAAAGGTTTACGTGACCATGAGTTACAAGACTCCTGATCACGTCTTCATTGCATTCCACGATTGTGAGTGTGCCATTCTTTCCTGCTGTGACGTAGGTAGTTGAGAAATAACACTAATATGTACTTCATAAGTAAGCAGATCCAAGTTGTCATTTTTCTTTGGAAAGTTTAAAAAGAAGAAACATTTATGTGTTGTAAAGCAGCCACTGCTCCAAGCTCACTCCCGTGATGGACTACAATCTCTTTTATATAGTTAATATGAACTGAGATTCTAGTCCCTCACAGGAGTAAGCTTGGAGTGGTGGCTACTTTACAACTCACACAGGGAAAATGGGGAACAAAAGTAGCCACCCTCCAGAAGGAAGGACAGTGTCAGCACCAATTCAGAGATGACTTGAGGATTTACAGTGATACACAAATAAGGTGCAGTTTTGTTAGGTTACGTGTTTAAATGCATTTTAAGATTTAACTTCTGAGTTTAGTGTCACTTTAAGCAACTGGTTTTACCTTTCCTTTTTTTTATTTAAATGTTGCAATTTGCATCTTAGTGTTTGCCACCTTTTTATTTAAATAATGGTCAGATTTACAGTAGCACCTAAATACCCAGTATTAGAATGAAGAAGGTGTAATGGGCACATTACAGCCCTTTAATTTGGTGGTAAAATAAATTTTTGATTTAGGAGGATGAGAAATTATATATTTAGTAGCAAAATTATTTCTGCCCTTATTGGCCTCTCCTGAATTCATTTGAATAAAAGTTTGAATTTAAATAAATGTACCTGGGAATAAGTGATCAGGGAAAACTGTGCTGAAAGAAGTACATAGCCTGTGATTGCTGGCATCTGAAAATTGTTACTGTACTCACTGTTTAAATTTAAATGGCTTCAGTTCTCTCTGCTAACTGACCTGGAGCAAGTATGCAGATAGAGTTCTGTCTTTTGACGCTGCAAGCTTTTTACTAGGTTGGTTTTTATTGCTGTCTGTATTCTCTCCTTTCCCTTCCTGTTCTTAAGAATATGACCAATCATCATAAATTTTAATTGTGACACAGGATGGAACCATTCCACAAAATGGCTAGCTACCCATAATTGTATTAATGTATCCCTAATACAGTATTTATGGCCTGCAAGTCTGTCCTTAAAGAAGAAATATCACCTTGTATTATTTTTCACAGCTCAGCCACCTAACTCCTATAGTGTTAGACTTTGACAGTTCACTCCTCTTCCAGACTACAATCTTCAAAGGTGATGGACTCTCCTTTTGGATTGATAGCTCTTATCTCACTGTCTCTGCACTTTCCAGACACAAGGGAGGTCACAGAAATGCAGAGGGAGGGGGTGCACTTCCACAAGAATCAGCACAGGCTCTAGAACTGGGAGGGGAACCTTGTTTTGTGTTGGGAAAGTGCAGAGACAGTAAGATAAGAGCAGTCAATCAAGAGTCCATCTCCTTTGCAGAATGTGGTTGGGAATGAAGAGTGAGCTGTCAAAATCTGCATTTCAATTTCTACTGCACAGAAGCATGGCATAAAAAGCAACATGTGGGAGTTAGGTGACTGAGCTGTGAAAAATAATACAAGAACAATATACAAAAAATACAAATACAAATGCATCACTGGTTTAAAAATTATTTTTAGTTGCTTTTAAAGAAGCTACTGGATAGCAAGACATAGATGCATTCTTCTTTATTCAATGTATAATAAATGCTCAATAAACAAATTAACATATACCAACATTTCTGTATTACAGGGTTGCATTTTGTTCTTGGATTATATGCAACATCCTTTTCTCCTTGCCAGTTTTTATATATGGAGCCTATATGATCCTAGTGACAGCTGCCTTCATCCTCTTCTCCCTGATTTCTTTTTCTACTGTGCGAAATGTTGCCTTTTGTAATATACAGTTTGGCTCCGAGGCTCTAAAAACATACTATGGAGGATCTTTTTGGCTAACTCTAGCAACAGGTGAGTTACTTGCACAAACTGACACTGTGAATTGGCCCTAAATTCTAACATTGTATGGCCAGCTTTAGTTCCTGGCAAAAGTCTTACGCTGTTCCAGCAGCCACCACTGATCCTGTGATTTAATTCTGGAAAAATTAAGGTGTCGACCCCCCTAATATGGAATATCTCCACATAACCTAGTAAAATAAATTGTAGATAGGGTTGCGACTCATAAGATTTGGCTGTATTGCTATTTTATGAATGGTACTTGTTTGATGGATGTTGGTACACAGGGTTTTTTTCTGCCTGAGGTGGAGAGGTGGTGCTGTATGGTGCATGCACGCTAGTCACTAAGGGTCACTAAGGGAGTGTGCTGGTGGAGAGAGCCAGGTGGGGAGAAGTGTAAGGGCTCTGCATCTCCCGCCCAGCTCTTAGCTGTCCGGTGTCCCACTTAGCTCCTGGCAACCAGTGACATCACTGTTTGCTTGGAGCTCAGTGGGATGCCAGCCAGATTGTCCCAGGCTGCTAAGAACTGGGCGGGGAGATGTGTATGCTCCTTACACACCTCACTGCCCGCTCTTAGCAACCTGGGATGCTCTTGCCGGAAATAGGGCAACAGGCACACTGCAAACATTGTGCAGCAGAGCAGTCATGCCGCTCTGCCTACCACCCCCCATGGGACCCCTATGTATGCGCGCGCACGCAATTTTAAGGCTTGACATGTTTGGTGTCTTTTTACCCGACGTGACCCCGTCTCTTATATTTTACCAAAAAATTGGGTAATAATAAATGTTTTATCATTTAATATAGGGGAAACATTTTTAAAAAAAAAACATTTCGGTAATTTTTCCTTTATAGTAAAAAATAAAAACCGCAGTGGTGATTAAATACCACCAAAAGAAAGCTCTATCTGTCCCTAAAAAATGGTATAAAATTAATTTAAGTACAGCGTTGCATGGCGGAATAAATGTCAGTCAAAGTACCGCAGCGCTGAACACTGAAAAATGGCCTGGATGGGAAGGGGGTGTAACAACGCGGACTTCAACTGGTTAAACTTCTCATAAAACTGAACCAGCGAATAATGTGAAAATAATCTCTTTAGTTTAGCACTTCATATCCCACAAAACTGACCTCAATAAGGAAATATTCTTATGTTTACTAAAATAGCAATAAAGCATTAAGCGAAAACATATAAAATTGGAATATTGCAATCAATTTTGTTTTACAGTTGACTGTTGTGTGGCACATTTACAAGCTGTGACTGGGTTAGTGCAGTTGTAAAGCATATTGTTTAAGAATAGGCATACTGTAGGTCAAGGTGCTCAGGGTATAGATGTAGTTCTCTAGCATATTTCAAAAACTGTAATGTCAGTTTAAGGGAGACTGACTCTTAAATATTATATCCATAAATATTTCATGTTGATACCCTTTTGTGGTACCAGTCCACAAGTTGCCTGTAGACCCCTTCAGTATTTTAAAAAGCTAAGAAGACTGTTTGATATTATTTATTGAAATTATTCATAATATATTTCTTACCAAGATAGGAACACAATCATGTAATGCAAACGTAATTTTTTATTCATTTTTCTTTTTCTTCATGAAGCTCTTTTCTTTGTCATTTCAGGTCTTCTTTGCTTTCTAATTGGAATAACATTCATTATATTGGACTGGTGTGTTCCAGAAAAACTGAAATCATTTTTTAACACTATTGAAGAAGATGATGTGGAATCAGAACAACTGTGTTACACTAATGATGGATTTGATGCTATATAATGGCATTTGTGCATGGGCGTTTGGGTTTTGCCCTGACATCACTCATTTGAAATGTTTGGACTGGACACTATAAAGCAGTTTAATTTGCATTTATAAATTCATTCAGCATGCATCATGCTTGATACATTTTCGTCAACATGGCATATCCGATTCTACTACATTTCAAGAAATAAATAGGAATGCATGCTATAAATATCACAAATGCATCGTGAGGACATTACAAATGCATTTTAAATGCATCACTAATGCATGGTAAACATACCTTGGGATACTATACAACCTTAGACGCTTCAATTTTTTCATAGACTGCTTAAAACAGGCTGTATCATATGTGCATGTTATGTATTTGTCTGACGACCGTGTACATTACTACTAGTAACAATAACTGCAGACATTTCAATATTAGTACTTAAAAGAGAATTTTGGGGTAAGTGTTTTTCCCCATAGTTCTCTTTTGGGTCACGGGAGGACATATACTAACCTCCTCCCGTGACCCAAAGCTCAGTATATAGCGGGCTATTGCTTTCGATATACTGAGAGCGCCGTAGCCGGGACAGATCCCGACCATACTGTCGTAAACCACCCAGCTGTGTGAGTGACAGCGGGCTCTGCCTATCTAGAAGCAGAGCCAGCTGTGCCCACCCCCTCAGCTGTCCGTTCCTCCAGTCAGCGCTGGAGGATCGGAGCAGGGAGGGGGGAAATCCCTGCGGGGAGCGGTGACTGACAGTCATTGCTCACTGCAGGGAGACAATCGGGAAGTGAGCGATCCGCGGGATGTTTCTGCTCACTTCCCGATCTATAGAGCCGACTTGTGACAGCTTCTTTATCACAGGTTGGCTCCAACAATGAGGATGAGTGGAAATCACTCACCTCATAGTTCTCCTTTAACCTTTAGGAAGAATGTGCTGGATAAGATTATACTATACAGACTGTTGGTTGTTAAAGTCTTCTAGGTTTAGGGGTTTTATACTCAGAGACATATGAAGAATTTTGACTAGTAAAATAATTGTGTCCAATACACATACATATGGTAGTCAATATATATTTGACAATATATTTTTATAGTCTCTCATTTCAGTTAAAATGAGAGTTTAGATTAAAGTAATTTTCAGAAAAGTGTTGTGTGAGGGCTCACCTGTCATGTTTTCTTCTTTTTTGGCTTGTAGCCTGGAGGAAGGAGCTCACATTAAATCTTCAAGGTCAGAAGACTGGGTCCATCTCTCTTTTAAAATGTGCTAAACTGCGTACTGCCTCTAGTAATAGCTACACTCAATACTACCACAGTCACTATTTAGGAGAGATGAGTGAACAATTATCTAACTGAATAGTGTTAGGGATGCATGGAGGTGTCACAACGAAAGGAGAGTACCTCCAAGTATTGAAGCGGAAGAAAGATGTGGATCAACATTTTTTGCCAAATACTTGTTGGTCCTCTTATATTTACAAATTTGTTCTAATACAATGTGGCCTGCTACAGTCAGATTGGAAACATAAATAGATATAAAGGGAACTTTATCCCCGGAACAATTGATGATTTTTAGGTAGTATAGCACAGCAGCATAATTTATGAGTTACATTAACTAATTTATTTATATAGCCATATTTTTTTTAACGTTATTGCAAAACTGTATATAATTGTATAGCTATCATTGAATACTGTTGGGTAAATCAGTTTGCCTGAACAGGGATTCTCAGCAAATCTTAGCATGGGGATGTATACTGCACATGTCTAATTGGCTAATGGGTCGAACTGATCTACTCTGTGGGCTGGTAAAGGAGTTCTGAGATACCTTACCAATGTAAATGTGGATGCTTGTGCCCCATCCCTAGTAGGGATCTGATCAAGAGGTACAGCATTTTCTCATTAGGTTTTTTGATGTTGATAACTGAAGTTTAGATTGTTTTGAAAGGTCTCAAGGATCCCGTAATTAAAGTGAGTTTAGGTTTACTGTATGCACATACGTATGTAACTTTTTTATGCTCTCATATACACTGCATATACATATGAATGTGACCTTTTTTATGGTCTCACAAACTTTCTTTAGGCACCTCTTATATTTTAGAGTTGGGAAACAAGTGAACAAAATCCAGAATCAACAAATGAGCGGGAGGATATGGGCATCCCTCTTATCTTGTTAAGCTGAACAGTTTACTTCCCTTTTACTTGATAAATTAGCTGAATAAACAAGGATTTGGCCAGGCTGTGATTGAGAGCCACTACTCACAGCTCCCTCCTCCCAAAGTTATTTATTTTGTTTCCTATATGTGCTCTGCTACTATTTTTATTTTTTGGTCTGTTACTTTTTTTTTAGGAGACCACAAAGCTAGTAAATAGCTTTGGGATATTGAAAATACATCTATTACACCAGATTTAGAAAATAGTAAACATTTTCTTTATTTATGACTTTATTTAATATATACCAAAATACAGATCATTTAGGTATAACTCCTTTCTTGATGGCATCCAACAACAATACAATGATAATATGTTGTTGTTTTAATTCTGTGTAAACTACTTGTCACATGTAAAGTCTTTCACTCTCAGGGCTATTCACAAAAGGGTGAAGAGTTTGGAGAAGGCAGGAGAAGTGAACAATCTAATTCTAGGACAACATAGCTGATTTGGAAAGATTCTCCAATTCAGCTCACTTTCTAGTTCAGCTATTTTAGCCTAGATTGTTCACTTCTTCTGTCTTCTCTAAACTCTTCACCCTTTTGAATAGTCTTGTCTGTCTTTGTCAGTTCTTACAAACTCTGAAAAAAAACAATATACAGTGAAACTGTAATAAAAAGGTTTATTTGGAAATAAAGCTGTTGAATATCACAGTATGTGTTTTTGTGTGTTATTTTAACATAGTATTTAAGGTTGAATAAAGACATAAGTCCATCAAGTCCAACAGGGGCTGACTGGCAACTTTTTTTTTTATTTTTTTTTATTTTAAAATGCTTTATTGTACAACAGTTCAACAATACATTCCACAGTACCAGATAGGGCAACCACCCTAATCATATCATCAGAGTAACTGGGACAGCACATGCATGTCCTAATACAGGATATAATACATTCAGTGGACACAGGAGATATCATACACTCATCAGAAGCATGTTTCCATAATTGAAACTCAAAGCAGGTATCTCATGTACATCGCATCGCATATAAGCATAACCACATTGATATCCACCACTCAATTGTATTCTATTCCCTGAGACAAATA